AGTGACGAATCCTGTATTGGTCATTCACAACCTTCATATGGTTCTTGACATACTCGAATGATATCGTATTAGCGGTCCTTGGTAGAGCAACATCCAACATCGTCAATGGTTAATCTCTAACGTTCGGTAGTGGAATTGGTCCTATGACTTGAGGTCATCATAGTGCCTTGTATGAGAACAGTCCATTTAATTAAATCCGATCCGTGAATTAACCAATCCAATTAATTAATTTTGGGATATAAATAACCAATCCAATTAATTAATTCATCCAACGATTGTTAAATTAATTAATTTGCAATTTGCAATCTTCCAATTCTCTCTTGTGTGCGACCCATTAGGTTCCCGACCACGATACCTAACGACGTGAAATATTATTTTGATCTAATCAAAATTGATAAATTAAACACCCTTTTAATTTATCACAAATTCACACTCGCCGTCCCAGATTGACATCTAGCAATGTAATCAGAGCAACACATATGACGAAAAATGTCACGTGGTATGATAAAACCAAAACTGTTCGTGTACCATGGAACTATAATCCTTTCGTCAATATGATCCGATCAATTACGAGATATTGAAGTGTGTCAATCTCGATTATCGATCATATCTTTTATTCTACTATTAAGTCAATATGAGTCGAAAACTCCTTTTCGACTTATGTGTATACCTTGGTCAAGGATTTTATTATTGACTTAATTGAACAAAATGTAGATCACAATCTCTTACTATCTAAGAGTGACGAATCCTCTATTGGTCATTCACAACCTTGATATGGTTCTTGACATACTCGAATGATATCGTATTAGCGGTCCTTGGTAGAGCAACATCCAACACCGTCAAAGCATGACTGTTCTCATACAAGGCACTATGATGGCCTCAAGTCATAGGACCAATTCCACTACCGAACGTTAAAAATTAAACACTAACACTCAGATGGTTATCCATGTGGAATCTCTTAGCGGGTCTCCAATGTTTTTGTTCTATAACAAAACATCTACGTGTTCATTTAAGTGTCACCACACTTTAACTCGTGAGATCAGCTACTTACTTCACAAGTAAGAAATGTCACGCGTGATGGTCTATCTGTATTAACGATATCCGTATCTCGTTATTACTTACGACCACGATTTATTCAAGATCCAATCATACGTAATTTGTATCTCACAATCACAACTCCTTGTAATTAACAAATCATTTAAACTTGGATCTTTGGACTCTATTATTTAAAATTATTTATCATAAAATTAATTTAAATAAATAATAGATCTTGCCATAATTAAATGCATTAAACATATTAAAAGTGTTTACAACTTAAATCGATTGGATTTAGGGCATAACACTTACAATTGCTACCTATGAGGTATGAATGAAATCAAAGTTTCTTATACCGAAACATCAATTTTTCCAGAAACTCTATTTCTCTTATCTAGTTGCTTACTCAAATTTTGTCTCATTGAAGGTTGAGAAGGAAAGAGGACAAATTGCCACTAGCATTGAATCATACATGAAGGAGAATGGCATTACGAAAGAAGTTGTCGTTAAGTTTTTTGAAATGGCTACAAATGTATGGAAGGATATCGATGAAGAGTGTCTCAGGCCAACTTCATCTTCTAGAGAAATTTTAATGAGAATTCTCAAACTTGAACATATTATAGATGTAACGAAGACGGGTACACACAAACACAAAAGATTTTGAAACCTCACATTATCTCTTTGGTTATTGATCCCATCGATGTCTAAATAGTATTGGGATCAAGTCGGGAACAACAAATCTTAATTTGTTTTTTTTCCTTTTATTTGTTTCCTTACATAGTAATATTACGAGATGAGTTTTCGGTAAGGCGTACAATACCCAATGTAAGTACATTATGTTTCCAATTAATATATGTATTCCTTCGAGTATTGAACTTATTTAAGTTCGGCGGAATACTTCGTCATTTGTGAGTACTAAAATTAATTCTATCTTAAAAATCTCTATCAAGAACACTGTACAACTTGAATAATATTCCAACTCGACTCGTAAAACAAATTGTTAAAGTATAAATTCAAGATTTCATGTGTAGACGATATGGAATTTTTGTCACACATGTGCAACAACTTACGATCATATCTTATTTGGAATCGATACCTCTAGGTGATTTAAAATTGATGGTGTACATAAATTACGACTTGTGATAGACATTTCAAGGGGTTTTGATTTTTGTGTGTGAGAATAAATTCCATGTAATTCATTGAATTGTTGGGTTAGGAATAAGTTAGCTCTCACAATTTCCAGTCAGATGCCATGGCTGGCCACTCCAATTGACTATTTGAACTTTGATAATTTCATAAAAAATAGGAAATGAAAAACCAAATGGTTTAATTGTTTGATTTATCATTTTTAATTGTTAATGGAAGTACCTTTTAATATAAACTCATGATTGGCTTAATTCATTGTCAATTTTTACAACTACCCTATTTTTATTTTAAAAACTAAAATAAAAAGAAGACGACGACAATAATTATATTATATTTATTATAATAATCCAGCATTTAAGAACCTTATCAAATCAATGAAGTCTTCGGCAAATTTGAAAGAAGATCTTCGACTTCAGGATCCATCGTTCCATGTTATTCCCACTCTGACCGTTAAGTAAAGATTAATCACATCACATATTTCTTATTGAAAGCCATCAATATAGATTTAGATAATTCATAATCATATCCATATTTCGTAGTCTTTCCAATATGAATGGACCATACTCAAATCGCTAGGCGATTATAACACTGAAATTGGTCGTTTTCCCTAATATGGTTCTCGTTTGTACACTTTTTACGAGAAATTTATCTTACACATCCTTAAAGTTTTACTGGGTAAATTATTCATACGAGAATTAGTTGAACATTTGAAGAAGCGCAAAATCCTCATAAAAATGAGAATTCTTTTTCAAACTATAAATTCTCTCAGGCACAGGTTAAGAATTTCATTTGGGAAAATTAAACATGTTGAGTTTCTTTTTTCTCATGTTTGGTCGAGCCATTACACAATAGAATAATGCTGCATGTAATGGGCCTTGTACTACCCAAAGTGCCATGTGGCCCATTGGCCCAATAGTCCCATCAACTTGGAAATTGGTTTACAGTGGATTTGATACAAGTAGCTGTAATCATGATTTAGTATCTTTTGTGAAACTTTTAGATATAGCACTCTTTTATGGTCCATACCAATTTCCAAAAACCTCCACGTCGCAAGGACGGATGCAGGATCAGGCCAATTTTTTTTTTTTTTTTTTGAGCCAATATGTAAATTAGAAAAAAAAAGGAGTTTCCACGTAAAAAAAGAAAAAAAATATATTTACGTCTAAAAAATAGAAGAGGATTGCTCCTAAATCCATCAGTGCAACCTCGTATCTAGTTGGTATTCCAACGAGCTCCAGCACATGGATAATGTAGTGTGTTAGTTGTCAATCTACACTACAAACTCTTTCAATGCAATACGTGATTGCAGCATTATCTTGCAACGGACGTTGCGCCTCCCAAGCATAACACATGAAACATGGTTCAATACCCATGCATTCTCATTCAAGCATTCCCCACTCAACCAATTGTTTGTCCCTTTATAGATATAGATCACATGAAATGTACTCTAGTCAAATATTCAATAAAAGTTCAATGGGAAAGCATTATTACGCCCATAAGCACCACGAGGTTTCCACGCGTTCAACTTCTAATGAATAGTGAATACCATGACTAGTAGGCGCCAATGTGACTATCACCCATAAGGGTACATAATGCCATGCAACATGATTATGCATCCATGTGCCTTTTTCTCGAGCACGTGATCATGTATATACTCTAATATATTTAGCTCTGAGATGACTATGTTCATAGAGAAGGTATCCATAGTTAGTCCGCAAACAAGCTACTCGATTTAAGAGGCAATTGTACTTTATTACCTTCTTTAAATAATCGTCACCTTTTATAATCGACTTGAGATGGAAAAATTCAACTCACATGAATAGATAATAAAAAAATACTGATAAACGATACTATTTCTTTTAGTCTCAGTTATTACCTTATTAAGTAATCTTTACTTTGAGAGCATGTTTGGTACATTTTAAAATCCAATTAAAATCAATTTTTTTTATCGTTATTTCACTATTTCAGTCGTCATTTTTGAATTATTCTCTCACATGTAAGATCCACTTTATTTCTAACAGTCAAAAAATCAATTAATAAAATCCCTACCAAATAAGCACTTATGATGAAATTCAAAGGATAAAACTCGATATGAATAGATAACAAAATACTAATAAATGGTAATTTTCCTTCCAATTTCAATTCATGTTTTCTTAACTTTTGTGTGTGTGTGTGTGTATATATGTATGTGTGTGTGTGTGTATATATATATATATAATGGGGTTAAAAACGCATTACGCACGCGTGCGCACACACACACATGAAAAACAAGGAAATATTACTAAAAATTCAGAAAAATAGAGAATATTTGTTGCAAAATATGAGAGTACATTAAAAAAATATATATATCGCTTCATTCTGAGTTATAAATTATTTTAATCAACAAAGAGATCTCTTTTTATAAGAAGTTATCTAGGAACCTTTTTTCGAAACATTTCATAATTTTCGCATTAACCTTCTTGTGATAATCAAATTGTATCATCGAATACAATCAGTACCTATCAAACAAATTAAGAATGAGTCCGTTGACTGAAAAATCGACTTATTTACCTCCAAAACTTTTCTTAATGTTTAGCAGTTCTGACCTTTAAATGTTTCTAACTTGACATTTTAAACTATTTGCGCTTGTTTGATTAAGATATTTTAAGAATTTAAAAAAATGTTTTTCTATGAAACCACGTGGTTAAAATTTAAGAAAATTTAAGAACAAATGTCAACACCACGATCTCGTCTTTCAGTCGCCCGTTACGAATTCAACGGACTATAATGTACTGTGAAAATTATAATTGTCGATCCATTTAACTTTAATTAAAAGTTGCGAGCTGTTTCGAGAATGTTCCACAGCTCTCTTGTATGCCTCTCTTTTCCAGAGCAGTTTATCTTTTGCTGTTCTGTCCCACACACATTCTCAAATAATACACTGTGACACAGATAGCTATGCTATTAATCTATAGACGCTAGACCCACAGACATTTCATAGCTAAATATTCAAAACAATTGAAGGGACCAAGATTTTGTTGCTATATTTGTTCAAGATTTCTGGGGTTTTGAAATAATTGATTTTGAAGAGGGAGAATAGAAGTTTTGGCAAAGTGAAGAAGAGAAAGAGAAGCGAGGAAGGGGAGATGGGGGTGGATTATTACAAAATTTTGCAGGTGGATAGAAGTGCGAAAGATGATGACTTGAAGAAGGCTTATAGAAAGCTTGCCATGAAATGGCACCCCGATAAGAATCCCAATAATAAGAAAGAAGCGGAAGCCAAATTCAAGCAGATTTCTGAAGCCTATGATGTAAGTTATTATTAATTTTTTTTTCAGAACTTATCAATTGATGTGGGTTTGATGTGAGCCGATTTTATGATTAGGGTTTTGGTCTATGTTCTTGGATTATCTGTTAGATTTTAAAAAATAAAAATAAATTGATCTTTATTTATTGGTGATGAATATGATATAAAATCTTATTTTTTCAGCTTGGCTCATAATGTTCCCTATATCGGAATTATGTTATGATTACGGGATGCGGTGCATGTAAATTGATTATTGTTTTTCTACCAGGTGCTAAGTGATCCTCAGAAGAGAGCAGTATATGATCAGTACGGTGAAGAGGGGTTGAAGGGGCAGGTGCCACCGCCAGACGCTGCCGGTGCTGGAGGGCCCACCTTCTTCTCTACAGGGGGTGGACCTACATCTTTCCGGTTCAATACCAGGAATGCTGATGATATATTTAATGAGTTTTTTGGATTTTCAAGCCCCTTTGGAGGAATGGGAGGTGGTGGTGGTGGAATGAGGAATGTTAGGTTTGGTGGCATGTTTGACGATGATATGTTTGCGTCTCATGGCGAAGGTGGTGGTGGATATCAATCAGCACCACGAAAAGGAGCTCCGATTGAGCAGAGGTTGCCTTGTACACTTGAAGATCTCTATAAAGGAACCACCAAGAAGATGAAAATTTCAAGGGAAATTCTGGATGCAAGTGGGTAAGTACCCTTCTTCTCATTTGAAATTAAATAATTATCATAAGAACATTTTTTCTCCTTGGGATTGAAAACTTTAGTTATGGATCCTTCATTGTTTATCATATTGAGATTCTTGCCCAATTGTCGTTGAAGAAGGTAGTTAAATGCTACCTTAATATTAGTATGGTATGGTTGCATTGTATACTTCTTGTCTTGGTAAATAAAGCTTGTAATGAGATGCAAATTATTGAATATCGAGTAAGTCTGATTTTTTATTCGAGCCAGGATGATTGGAGCTGACCTTCTGATGCATTATTTTTATGCATTTCCTGATATACAATTGGTTATGATTTCTTTTCATTTGTCAGGAGAATCAGATTAGTGTTCAATTACTTATGGTGTCTGCATAGATGTTCATTTTAACGAATAATAGTCTTGTATTTACGTCTTCAACAAAGTTAGTAGTTATGTGCCTTCTAAAAGTTTCTTTTTGCAACTTGACGAAATTCATGATAATTATTAATAGCTTGTTTTAGTAACTCCTTTTAGGTTACGGATGTCAAGTCAAAAGGCACTGTATGTAATCTATAATGACTTAAAATAATTTGGATATGTTATTAGCGATCATGGTAAACTCAAATGTTTCTGCGGTTTCACATATTTTGCATAAGTTTTTCTCTTGTTGCCTAGAGTTTTCGTTTAAGAAAGTCAGCATCATATGTGTTTTCTATGCAGTTTTTATTTTATATAACTGTTAATGTGTCGGTTCTTAAATAACAAGCACTCTAGAGAAGTAAATGTTGCTAGAATGTTATGGCAATAAGATAGAATTCGAAATAAATATTATTTGCTATTATTACTACTATTGTTTATTTTTATCATCATCAATTAGGTGAGAATGATCTGACTGCACCAGTCTCTTTTATTTTTATTTTTATTTTTTTTTTTTTGGGGAGGGAGGGGTGGGGGTTGACTGTGAGTGAGCACGTGTGTGTTGATGAATCCATTATGTTGATTTTTCCGTAGACAGTGATGACCTTTGAGAGTAAGGGTGAGAAAAGATCAGGGGGCAGTTAAATATAAGATAAAGAATGAGGTTCAAGTCAAACTTTGTGAAGCTAGAAAAGGGGGAAAAAGGGTAATGTAATCACAAAGCTGACTTCTATTTATCTCCAATCATTTTGGGTCCTGGCTTGTTGCTATTTACAAAGAATATTCCTCACTTTTCAAGTAAGAGTAAGGCTTTCCTTCATATCAACTATCTCTTTGTTCTTGTATTGGTATCACTCTCACTATTATGGCTTTAGATTTTGTTCATTAACGACTTCATTGTATTTTGGGTTGCTTTAATTGCTATACTGCTATAAGGGCGGAGGTGGATGAAAGAGTAAATTTTTTTTTTTTTTTAATAATAATACAAAATCAGAATAACAAAATAATAAATGAGCCCATTTTACAAATTTGGGCCTAAATTACAATCAAAATCTCAATCAAACCCAAACCCAATTAATAATTAATAACCAACCCACTCAATTAATAAATCAATTAATTAACCCAACCCAACAATAAAATAAAACCCATACAACGATCACTCAACCCGTAAACAACTCTGTTTACACTCCAAGCCAAGACAGGGGTCGACCGGCGGCGAGGTGGGCGACTGGACATCGCTGACTGCGGTAAGCTCCGGTGACTGCGGTTTTACTGTGGGCGGCGCGGTGAGTGTGCAGCGGCGGTGGGTGTGCAGCGATTGTAAGGTTATTCTGTAGTGCGGTTTTGGGTGCTGGACTGTGGTGGTAACTGATGGTGCAATTGGCGAACTGACGCGGCCCGTTTGGAGTCACGGTCTGCGGCGGCTCGGTCTTTGTTCCAATTGTTCGGCAGCAATTCCGGTAGGTTGGTTGTATGTAGAAGGTATCGGAACGAGGGGCTGGGTTCTGCAGCAAACTGGGTATTGTTGTGGTGGCGGTATTTGAGTGAAGACAAACCGGCACGATGTTAGTACGTTGACAGGAGGGAAGCCATGACCATGACCGAAACGGTTGAAGCTGGGCTGAAGAGGCGGTTGAAGCTTTGTTTTGTCTGCAGCAACGGATTCTGTATTGGTGCTGCGTGAATTGCTGTCCAAGGTTTGCTCTGATACCAATTTGATGTAGGGAGATTACTGAATTAGTAAATAACAAGAAGGGAAGGGGAGGAGAAGAGAAGAAGAAGGCAGAGGCGGGGAGAGAGGAGAAACGGCTGAAGCCAACTCTTTTATTTCATCAAATTCATTAACTCAAATAACAATGTAAGATAGGTTTAAATACTGGAAAAATAATGCAAACCTAGGGCCAAGCCCAATACAAAAGTCCATGAAATTAAAATAACCTAAGTTCCAACTAAAATAATTAAAATTGCTAAAATTAATTAAAATTGGATGTCCTCATCAGAGTAAATAGATTTTCATTTAAGATTCGATTGGACAATGGTGAGAAAGGGCTAGGTATTATAATCAGCGAGCAGTTGAATGTACAATTAAGAATGAGATTGAAGTCAAACTTTGTGAAATATAAATGTTTTTGAAAAATATAGATAACGTAAAGCACAAAGTTGACTCATAATTCTCTCCAATCATTTGGATACTGGCTTGTTGCTAGTCACACCACGTGGCAATCATTTACAAAAAATATTCCTCAACCTTCAAGTAATCATTGTCATTCCTTCATATCGTCTAACTCACTTTCCAAGTAAGCATAAGGCTTTCCTTCATATCAACTATCTCATTGTTCTTGTATTGGTATCACTCTAACTATTATGGCTTCAGATTTTGTTCATTAACGACTTCATTGTATTTTGGGTTGCTTTAATTGCTATTCTGCTATAAGGGCGGAGGTGGATGAAAGAATAAATAGATTTTCATTTAAAATTCGATTGGACAATGGTGAGAAAGGGCTAGGTATTATCATCAGCGAGCAGTTGAATGTACAATTAAGAATGAGATTGAAGTCAAACTTTGAGAAATATAAATGTTTTTGAAAAATATAGATAACGTAAAACACAAAGTTGACTCGTAATTCTCTCCAATCATTTGGATGCTGGCTTGTTGCTAGTCACACCACGTGGCAATCATTTACAAAAAATATTCCTCAACCTTCAAGTAATCATTGTCATTCCTTCATATCGTCTCACTCACTTTCCAAGTAAGCATAAGGCTTTCCTTCATATCAACTATCTCTTTGTTCTTGTATTGGTATCACTCTACTATTATGGCTTCAGATTTTGTTCATTAACGACTTCATTGTATTTTGGGTTGCTTTAATTGCCATACTGCTATAAGGGCGGAGGTGGATGAAAGAGTAAATAGATTTTCATTTAAGATTCGATTGGACAATGGTGAGAAAGGGCTAGGTATTATCATCCATCAGCGAGCAGTTGAATGTACAATTAAGAATAAGATTGAAGTCAAACTATGTGAAATATAAATGTTTTTGAAAATTATAGATAACTTAAAGCACAAAGTTGACTTATAATTCTCTCCAATCATTTGGATGCTGGCTTGTTGCTAGTCACACCACGTGGCAATCATTTACAAAAAATATTCCTCAACCTCCAAGTAATCATTATCATTCCTTCATATCCACTAACTCACTTTCCAAGTAAGCATAAGGCTTTCCTTCATATCAACTATCTCTTTGTTCTTGTATTGGTATCACTCTCACTATTATGGCTTCAGATTTTGTTCATTAACGACTTCATTGTATTTTGGGTTGCTTTAATTGCTATACTGCTATAAGGGCGGAGGTGGATGAAAGAGTAAATAGATTATCATTTAAGATTCGATTGGACAATGGTGAGAAAGGGCTAGGTATTATCATACATCAGCGAGCAGTTGAATGTACAATTAAGAATGAGATTGAAGTCAAACTTTGTGAAATATAAATGTTTTTGAAAATTATAGGTAACGTAAAGCACAAAGTTGACTCATAATTCTCTCCAATCATTTGGATCCTGGCTTGTTGCTAGTCACACCACGTGGCAATCATTTACAAAAAATATTCCTCAACCTCCAAGTAATCATTATCATTCCTTCATATCATCTAACTCTATGTTCGGATGAAGTTATACCTTTTAAGGGCGGAGGTTAGGGGTGGGTGGAAGAGGGATAGAATTTTTTAGAATTATTATTAGATTTAGACTGGACGGACAATGGTGAGAAGCCAAATGTACGATTAAGAATGAGGTTAAAGTGAAACTTTGTGAAGCTAAACGATAAGGGAAAAAAAATAATGATAATGTAAATGTCAAAGCTGACTTCTACTTCTCTTCAATCATTTGTCCTGGCTTTAGACATGGGAACATGGAATCTTCAAGGAACCCAACTTTCATAGGATTTTGATTCTTATACATCAAAATGGTACATAAGCGACTACTAAAAATGATGTATGGAGAAAAGATTGGATGAAATAATTGATTATATTTTAAACTGACAAATGATAGAGCGCCTTAGGACATTATGCAAATTTTGATATACATATAGCAACATCCACCTTCCATAATTGTTACATAAATCCACCCCAGCCCACTCGACCTCCCCCTACCCCACAACACACACAAGTATGTGTGTGTGTGTATATATATACACAGAGAGAGAGAGAGAGAGAGAGAGAGAGAGAGAGAAGGAGGGGGGGGGGGGGGTGTAAACAGACCACAAAAATTGGAAAACATAGTGATATTGTGGGACATACCAGTCTAGCTTGCAAGAAAGATTCAACCGTTGAGGTGATTATACAATTCCATGTATAGTATCTGTTGCTATAGGCACGAATTTGATCATGAGGTTCTTGACTTGAATGTTCTTTGATATGGAATATAGTTCATTGCTTCAGTGTTGGATACCTGACAAATAAGGGTTTAAAGAATTTATCTTCTGTTGTTTATTTATCATAAACTTTAAAAGCATGTCAACGATGTTTGATTTGTTTTATAATTGCTTTCTATGAAGTGGTATGCACGTTTCAAACTATACATTCTGCTGGATTGTAAAATGAAGTAGATATTTTTGCTGGCTTTTGAGGTCCTTTGCCACCTGGACACGTACCTGCATTCGACACAGAAGCCCAATTAACTTTGTGTTACAGTACTGCTGTATGCATTTAGTGTGACGGGAAACACAATCATTCATTTGATTTCAGAACCGTACTATGGTTTTTATTATTTTAGAAGGTTCATCACACAGGTGAATTTGACCATGATCTATAGACTATAAGTTTGAGATGTAGGCTAATTGTTTAACAATTGAAATTAACAGGATTTGAGTCATATTTGCTAGTGGTTTGTATGGACAGATAATAACTTAGCTGTATTAATGAATTGGTATATGAATCCCTTAAAACCATGCAAGGGACCATCACTATTGTATGTATGGTGTCTGCCAGCAGGGTAAGCGCAACCTTTTGCTGTTCTATGTATATCTTGGATACACCGCTACCCTCCCGAGTCCCGACTCTGGTAAGTAGATGTCCGACAACACCAATGTGTTGGAAATACCAGGTGGTGTGTCCAAATTGTTTTTAGATTTGATACAATTGGATACGTCAATACAGTGTCAACACGAGGATTCACCAAAAATAAAAAAATAATAAATAAATAATCGCTTTACAATTTAAAAATAAAAAATTTATATTATTTAATCAGCTTGTAGGGTCACTTATTTGGAAAATTTTGTGTTGGTTTGTCGGTCTCTTGTTGCGTCGGTGCTTCCTTAGATGTATATACTACGAACAATGCCCTGCGAATAGGGCACTGTTCTATAGGGGGCTTACAGGCCCCCTCACTGTAGCTACAGGTCGGTCCCGCCGACCTACATTAAAATAATAATAATAATAATAATAATAATAATAAATTGTGCGGGCCCTGTCCTTTTGTGTGCCCTGTCCGACCTCTATAATTGTCCCCCTGTACGTGAAGCGTGATCTGTCCCACCGACCTGCATTTAAAAGTAATAATAATAATAATTTGTGTGGGCCCCGCCCCCTCCCTTTCCTTGTACGTGAAGCACAATCCATATACTACACAACAAATTTCTTTTGGCAGGCCTGAATTCACAATTGTCAATCTTCCATATTTACCAGTTATGCTGAAGTTGTCATGGTTAAAAGTTTCCTCCTTTAAAATCTTCTTATTTTAGTTGTTTTTGTTGAACAAAAGCTAGTACCAACAAATAGGTTGCTTGACTTTGCAACTCTCGAATGGATAAACTACTACTGCGACATCATTTATCGGGGAACTTTATGAGAAATCTGATTAATCTTTACTTGAAACCGAATTATATGGAAATGATGTGAAATGGAACTTTTCTTTCTTAAATAGCCAAATGCATTTTATTTGGAATGTTCTCTCTTTTCCATTTGGTTGTATAAATTGCATCGTACATTTTCTTCTGGTGATTGCCAGGAAAACAGTGCCTGTAGAGGAAATCTTGACGATTAATATCAAGCCTGGCTGGAAGAAAGGTACTAAGATCACCTTCCAGGAGAAAGGCAATGAGCACCCAAATCAAATACCTTCAGATCTTGTATTCATTGTTGACGAGAAAGCCCATAGAATTTTCACTCGTGATGGGAACGACTTGGTTGTTACGAAAAAAATCTCTCTGGTAGAAGCATTAACTGGTTGCACAGTACATGTTCCTATGCTAGATGGAAGGAATCTAACAATTCCCATCAACGTCGTGATCCATCCAACTTACGAGGAGGTTGTCCCAAGAGAAGGCATGCCAATTTCAAAAGATCCAACTGAGAAAGGGAATTTGAGAATTAAATTCGATATAAGATTTCCTGCAAAGTTGACATCAAGTCAGAAAGCTGGTATGAAGGAGCTCTTGGGTTCTTGAGGTTAGGATTTCTATTAGTTTTCTCTGAGACTGTTGTTTAATTTTTCATGATCAGTTCGTCCTTTCGATATTCCGGGATTTATGGATTGAAATATGGCTTGGTTTTTTGTATTTATAGATATAGACAACAGTTGGTGTTATATTTCAGAAGATTGAGACCATATCCTTTTGTCACTGGATTGTACAAGATATTTTTTCTCTAGACCAGTTATTAAAGTTATTTCGGGTTTCATTTTTGGTTTAACGAGCGTGCTTGCGAGCACGTTAAACCTCAAATGTACATATGCCTTGTTTTCATGCCATGAATGCTTGCTTCATCTGATTTGGTGTTGTAAGCTCTAGCATAAATCCCCAGGAGCTCTAGGAAGGGCGGCCTGCACTCGATCAAGGGTATTAGCCGTGATGTATGAAAAGTGTGGTATATAGATTGTCCGACCCTGACTCACTGATGAAATCGAAGTGCATAGTCTAATGGTCTAGCTACACTTCCCAGCTAGTTCAAGAGGTGGTTTTACCCACACTCCATCATCTTGGAGCAATAATTTGTTCCCGTTTGACAATTATTAAAATGAATTTTTGTTTTCAGGGAAATTTAGTTCTGGATTAGTGAATTTTTTGAAAATGTGAATAAAAAGTTGGAAAAAAGTTTTAATTTTACATGTAGAATATTGTATTGTGAAAACGCGTGACTAAAAATGAGTTTTGAGAAAAAATAGTGTGTTGTTTTAATGGTTGTCAAACATGGGCATTATATCCGACTACTACTCAATAATTGGACCTAGATAGGTAACTTAGGGACTAGACTATTTTCTAAACTTCGATACCAGCCTTTTCCTACCAATATTATGAGAAATTTTTTCCAGTATTTTGTACTAGTATTGCTTGGCCAAAATCGTAAGATTCAAACTTGTTACTTAAACCGGGAGTTTCCAGAGCTACAGCATTGGTATCACATACTACACAATATATTAGATATGCTCATGCATAATGAAAAATGAAAAATAAGGGTTTGTGTTTATTGTCACTATGATTTAGTCGCATTGAATTTTCTCGTAGATACAACAATAAGTTGAAAAAATAGTGAAAATAGGATCGTAATTTTATTATTATTATTATTACTACTACTATTTTTTGGGTAAACTAAAATGGGAATTAATACCTCATCTCAACGTCTACCATCAAAAGTAGTTGCAGAACATTTAAAATGGAGTAATGCTATTTGCAGTCATTCGTTGTCACAGTTGCCTTATGTGACATGTAGCGGTTAGCAATGTCATGCATTAATATGGTAACATTATTCTTTAAAATGTGAAGGAACATTTAAGTATGCAGTTTAACCGAGTTGTCAAACATGCTCATGCCTCGAAATACTCCTTAGCAATAGATGGAGAAAATCATGTGGAGAAACAGACAAGAAAAATTTCAACTCCTCGAAATATCAAAAATTCTCAAAACAGATTCATTTACCGAAACACGGTGTATGTGGCAGAAACATCTCGAGTCATCTTTGCAATGTATATTGCTTAAATGCGATATATTCCTAATATACGATAGAGAGAGGTCAACAATTATTTATTCCTCAGTGATAACTGGTGATTTCCACAAATACAACAGTTATAAAGAGGTTTCTACTATGAAATCCATGTTAGCAGCAGAGCATCTTTACCTCTTCTCCCCCAGTTACAGATCTTCTGATGTCTATCATTGATATTAATAACTATAATCAGATGATGATGATGATGATTCTGAACCTCTATCTGAACTTCTATTTATGTTTTTGACTTGCTCTCCACCAGTTGACGTGTTTCCTGGTTCATGATAATCACGATTAAAATATCCTTCAATATCATCATCAATATAATCATCACCATCTCCATCTTCTTCAGCACCTTCATCATCATCTTCTCCAGCTCTGTAATCTACATTGAGTACCATAACTTCGTCAAATTCATCCCCCGTCCCTTGACCGTTATAATCATCAAATGCTGATCTTTCAGAACTGCTCGCACTTTCAGCACCCTCAGCCTCTATAGGGGTTTCTTCTAAATTCCATTCCTGCTGACCTATAATCGGGATTTCATCAAAGGGTATACCCTTGGCTTCCTCATGGGATACCTCTGCTGTTCTCGTCACAGGTTTTTGCCTACTTCTGACTGAGCGTCGGCCCTTCTTGCAGCTTCCTTGCCCACGTGACCGACCTTTCCACCCTGGAAGTTCATAATTGTTTGTTGTAGTTACTTGACCTGATTCATTTCTGGAATTAATGGTCTTTCTCTGTGATTTTCCACTGTGTGGGCGACTTGAACCTCTTGGGCGTCCACGGCCCCGTTTCAAGCTCGTACGTCCATTAAGATTGTCTTCTTGCAGATTCCCAACTTGGGGTGGTATATAATCTAATCCGTTCCCTAGTGTAGAACATCTCGATGGAAGTTTCTGAACATATATAAATGATAAACATTCAATTCAAACTGAAGCTTGGACCAGAAAATCCTTTAGGGATGGGTGTTCAAAGATCTCATAACTCAAAAATTATCAGTTCACTTCAATGGATCAGATAGTCACATCGTCCAAACATAGAAGGTGAGAGTGGTGGCTCATTATTGTCATGGGCGAGAACCCTTCGATCAGTACTAAATTATGTCACAACAGGTATGTCAATACATTAAAATTTTTTACTATTCTAAGTGTCCCTTCAAGAACAAGACAAGGGTACACAATAATATTGGATACTACTTTGCCAAATGATCTAAGGAGAAAAATAGAACCCACACGAAAGATTTAATTATCAACCGTGTTTAGACTGGCTTAATATATAGGCAAAATTGGTAACTCGCCATTGTGAAGTACACCCCCTTGAGAAGAAGGTAAAATTAAAATAATACCCATGATGCAAAATAATGCATGTTATAAGGCACTTAAACAACAGACGTACCTAAACTGAAAATAAATTATTTCCATCTAATAATAACTAAAAATAGTACTTACGATGAAGTATCCAGATCTGCCATCTTTCTGAAAATCCTTTTTCTGATCCGGCGTATAACAAATGGATGCATCAAGCTCCATCAGCCTCAAGGCCACTGCAGAAGTCGCCAGAGGTATCCATGGAAGTGCCATAACTGCATCAAGTCCGTATGCATTATCATCAAGGTGTCCTATAAGGTTACAGGAACCCAACAGTTCATTGGTGGTCTCGAAATTTGCCAACAAGAAGTCCCTCTTCAGGCCACCCTCCAGTAATGTCAAAGTCTGAAAATGCAGCACAATCGAAGGAGCGATTTAACAAAAAGGGAAAGAGAAGGCAAAGGAAGAAGAAAAGATCATGAAAATTCAATCCTATTCCAATGATAGGTTCATGGACACATTTGGAGAGTGATGTGGAATAAGACAAGATAGCATAACAATATTTTGCTAAACAATTATAATAGAAGAAAAATACCATTTTAATCTCAGAAAAGAATTGCTACGTCAAAAGCAAGCATCTGGAATATATAAGTACCAACGAATCAGCATTTGAGGGCAAACATTATTTCCATTATTTTCTTTGTATTCCGTTTAAAAAATAATAAAATAATAAAATAATTATAATGTATCAACCAATTAGTTGATTTTTATTTTATGTTCATCTATCCAATACTAGGAGCACATGCATAACTTTATCATCAAAATCCCTATTTAATTCTGCAAATTACTCAACATATTTCAACAGAGATAGTCCATTAACCAAAACCACACATCTTCAGCGGTAGAAAAATTTTCATATTCTAAGTATTTACAATTTTTTTTTGATAAGTCATATTCTAAGTATTTACATTAAAACGTATTAAGATCCTTCCAGATGCAAGAACCACTTTGGAAAACATACAGCCTCACAAGGACAAAATTCTAGTGTCTACAACACAAATTCCTCGTGATGCCCATCTTAGAAGTTCAATTCCAACAATTTTAATAAATTGCACCAAAGACTCCTAAGTCGTATAGCAAAGATGATGAGATAAGAAACCCAGATATTAGTTTTAACACAAGGTATATAAACCCCTGGGGGGATAGTTAACATGGATTGTGGTCTAATACTACAAATACTGTTAAAAGAACAATTCTCGCCCAATATGTCCTTTATTTCTTGCATCAAATTCCCCAGGTGAATAGTGTGTGAGGAGCCCCCACAGATATGACTGTTTTCATGTCATTGTACGAGAAAATTCACAAAGCAAATACAGGAGATCACGTATCAAAGCAAGAGACAAGTTTTAACTTCGACAGGTACCACATCCTATCCGCCATCCCGTGGGACGTCAGACAAGATGGCAAGAACTATATTTCAAGAATGATTAGGGCTTCAATCAGCAGAAAAATTCTAATTGCTATTCAAAAGGTTATTGTACGAGCAACAGCTCCAAGAACACACCACGCCAGAAAGTTGGCAGAGAGATCAGGGGCCAGTGATGTGAGAGAGAGAGAGAGAGAGACCTGAAGAAGGTCTTCAGCTGTTAACGCCATAAGCAATTTCATGCCCCAAGATTTTCTGTAGGTATCAGACCAAATAGGTTCAAGTGCTTCCTGAGGAATAGAGGCCTGCAAAGCCAAGATTTGTTTCACCATAAAGTGAGAGATATGGACATCTAACAACTAAGAATTATATGGCCTTGAACTGACATTAACAAGTAAAAACTAAATATCCAAGTGTGCATTACATCCTGACCTCAACGGTAGCTAATTGAGCTTTGAGCAATCTGATCCTTGGAGGAACTGAAAGGTCCAGCTTGTGCAGAACCCCATCAGACTCTTCACGTAATTTCCTTTCACATTGAGTTACATGTTCAGAAAAACCTAATTTATTGCCAGAAGTGTCGGAAATCCTATGACAAAGACAGTGATTATCCTCACAAAAGCACTTAGCATGACTACAATCACAAATTTCCAGCAATTGTTGGCTTCTTGGTGTTCCATACTTCAAGGCACATACTATATTAGAATTAAAGCATTCTTCCCACATCCACTTTTCAGAATATCTATATCTTTCCATGGCAAATTTATCATCTGTTCCATTTCTGCCTAACTCAATGGCAGATGAAGAAAGCTCTTGTAAATTGAAACCTGGTATGGAGATCACGTTCTTGGGGCTCTCCATACTGGAACAAATATAAGGCTTAGATCCCATTTCCAGAACTTCCTTCTTGACTTCATCACCAACATGCTGACCAGAATTCGCAAAGTTTTTCCGGGCAGCTTCTTTGAAAGATGTTTCAATTCTTTGCAACATTGAACGCAAATGAGATTCTCTAACCCCACGCACATCCAACAATGCCAACAAATCATCAAAGCCCTGCATGTAGTGAAAATAAGGAAATCAACATTAAATGCTGATGACTGAAAACTGAATATTTGATGCCGAAAACAATGTTATAAAAAGAATTGCAGATACTTTTGCAGTCATTCAACTGTCAGTGATGTGGTCATAATTCCTTTTTACTGAAAAAAGATAAAGCAGTACTACCGCTTCATGAACTATTTTTGCTTTCAGAGCAACCTAAGTTGGAACCTGGAAGAGAGAAAAAGCACAGAAGGGGATGGGGGCACAAAATGATCAGATGATGCCACTGCTGGGCAAGAAGCCACCAATCTCACTATGACAAGAGGCTTGAGTAACATAAATAACCAAATATTATGTCTCAATTCACAAATCTCCTGCAAACCTTGGAATGAAAGAAATGGTTCTTGATGAAAGGGGCAACCAAAGAAGCAGCTTACTGACGTGAAATGACAAACACAGAAGACTACCTCTTGGCAGTCATCTTACGAAGAAATTAAAAAAATAAAAGACAAACGCCAGAAATACCTCTTCAGTATCAATAAGCCTCCATCGGCCATCTTGGAGCTCAACATATATTCTGCCAGATCCAGGATCATTTTGAGATGGAGATGCTATAAATTGCCAGTAACGATTACGTCGGCGGTCCTGTCCAAGAGGCAACGACCTATATACATACATCTCCTCGGCCCTGTGACCGATAAAAGCTTTTAGCTCGAACTGCGACTTTTCAGCAGCATATAAAGATTGCTGAAGTGACGGATTGTCCAAACCAACAGAGTACTCTAGCACTGGGAGGTTCTTTTCACCTACCAAGTCCTTGCCATAATTTTGGTCACTCTGCTGACCATTCAAGCCCATCCGAAATACAGAGTCTGCATCTGCAGACTCAGTTTTGCCATCAACACCAAGTAATGAAATTCTCCTGTCCTCAAATGCACCAAGGGAGACATTTTGTTCAGCCCTATTACTCGTAAACGATGAATGTTGCATTTTAATTACATAATCCTCTTTCGTACGGCGCCTATCAAGTTGTGCCTCTGCCAACATCTGCTTCTTTAATGCAGTTGCTGCCTCCAGGCGTTCCTGAAAAGCTTCCTCGTTCAATAACAGAGTAATAAAGTAACTGCAAAGCAGTAAGTCAATTAAAATCACCAAATATTATAATGTAAAGTACCTCTAGCGTACTACGAATAGCATTTCCTTCATTTACAACCCCAATCAAGGCTACAAGGGCATCGAGACGCTCTTCAACGCTCAGACTAGCATACTCTCCTAGAGCAAGTCCTTGAACCCATGGTTCTCCATAGCTGCATTCATCAATCAGTGTGTCCTGACCAGGATTAGTAGTCTGGGAATGAATCCCAATAACATCCACAATCTGATCACTAGAGGTTCCACGACTTTTTATGTCCCTGAAACCTAAAGACTGCATCGAAGGAGAATTTTGTTTTAAATTTTTAGGGCTGTCCTCAATCAACTCCCTGCAAGAGTTATCCTTTCCATAACCACAGAAATTTTCTACCTCAAATTGGTCCGTATCCTTAGAATGAAGATTTCCTTTTAGTTTTAATTCAGTGTCCAGATCATCAACATCAGGATCATCCAAAATATCACTTTCAGATTCTTGATCTCTGTCAGCGTCCTCTTTCTCAACATCATCTGCTCCTATTCCATCAACATATTTATTCTGGAATAGCTGAATCTTTTCTCTGGCAGAAGAAAGTATCACCTCAGTGTCAGCAGGGTCCTTCCTATAAGGAGAGCGTAGACAATATGTTGAAGGAGCCGTTCTCTCAAACAGCTTTATATCCCTTGATAAAGCAGCAGAAATAGATGCTTCTGGTGTCTTGCTCGTGGTTAGATCTCTAAGACCAGATTTCTTCATAAAAAGAATAATGCTTGTCAGCACCAAAACAGGACACAATTACATTGTAAATAAGCAATCTTGACTCACCTGAATCTTATCTGCAACTTCCAATATTGTCAGTCCCTTGCTTCCCTCCAGTGAAAGAACATGAAATGCTGCAAATTTAACTGTTCCAGGGGTCAATCGATGCCTGGATCTTCGAGGATTTGACAAACCCCTTTCTTGCATAATGGCAACAGCTTTCTCAGCTGCAACTCCATTACGTAAATTGGAAATGACATCTGTACCATCATTACTCTGCACAAACAAGTAAATTAAACGAAATGCTTCACAAGTATCAAGTGTACAAAACTAAAAACAGCTACTAAAAGGGGACTTGTGATGTCACAGCATATTTGACCAAGCTTAAATGTAAGTCTAAAGCTTCTTTTAAGTATGTTTGAATATATTAGTTTTGTCCCTGCATGACAATAAGATAGGGGTCACTTTCAAAATGAGCAAATTATTTCCAACTTTAATCAAAAGAAAAACTTATTTATTTTGAAACATGCCTTTCTCTTTTTGAACAGTATTCGGAAACATAGTTATTTACGCATAAGTAAACTTACATAAGCTTATCCAAACATATTTATCTTATAGAACTCCATCTCTCTGAAACTGAAAAAATCTGAGATTGGAATTTTTTTCGAGCAGTTTTTATAATATTTAGTTATTAGTTTCAGAAAATAAACCAAGCAAAATAAAGCCATGCACTGAAAAGTACTACAAGTTAATAATTTGTAGTTTCCAAAATAACAGCAGGCCAAATTTATCATAAAATTGCTCCAAAATCCAACTTACTGCCTATAAAGTAAAGAGAACATTTGGCTAGAGGAGGGGGATTAGCCTATCAAGTGGAAACTCTTCATTTGACACAGTAATATTATTGTAAGACATACACAGACAAAGCAAAACACATCGCATTTTACCAGAAGGCCATATCCGTGACAAGACTGAGGGATAACTATTTCTTAACTGATGTAGTACATCACAAATACAATTAATAGTTTCGTACTAAAATTATGTTTTATCTTTTCTATTATTTTAGTTTTCTTGAATAATTGTGATTTATCTTTTATTTGATTAGGATTATAGTTTCAATTCTCTAATACTATTAGTAGAAAATAAATTTGCCTATAAATATAGGGGTATTGTACACTTTTCATTTCATCAATCATTATTCAATCAATATCAAAAAAAGTTATTCCAATATTCTTCTTACTTTATTATATAATTCTTATTACAAGAATTTTATTATCGCTTCCACACGATTAACACTGCCACAGTTCAGTAAACTTTAAATTGGTATACTTGTATTTTGTGGGAGGAAAGAAACTAGCAAACTGAAACAAGTCGTGCCTCAATTTCATCATGATGATAAGCTGGTTGGAAGCTTCTCTTCTTCAATTTTGGTCCAAAACCAGCAGCTAGAGCAAATTGCCTTAACACTTCAGGCCATGTTAATGGAGTCAGGTGCCGCTGCCAGCTACATATGTCAAAACCCCAAGCATATGCCTGTTACAATACATAAGATCATGCATTTCACTTAATTGCATTACAACATAAAGCAACCAATAAAAAAGCATACCCCTTCAATAATCTGTGGATGCCCACCCCCAGGATTAACGGAATTCTGATTTGAACCCACTGCATTGGCTGGCGTTCTTGCAACATCTTCGATATCCTTTATTATGCATCTAAGAATTGCTATATGAATCTCTCCTAGCAACCTTGGATCCTAAATTGGGGGAATCCACGGGAGTTGTAGAAAAGTAAGAGAATATGAAAGAAGAGACGTGCTAAAATTAGCAAAAGGACCTCAAAAACTTACATAATCATGAAAAGCTTGAACAAACTCATCCAGAGTGAAAGGCCATAGTCCAAGCACATCCGCAAAAGTAATCAAGAATCTCCATACCTACATGAGATCACACCGCAGAACCACCCGATATTGAAGATAGATCAGAGGTTTGAAGTCCCATTCAAGAAATAACATGACAAATCACAACAAAAGGCAATATATCTACATGAGTACTAAAGATGCATGCCACGACGAAACTTAAGAGATATCATAAATACTTTAAACACCAGAACTCTGAATATGAAAATACCTACTTCTCAAGTAAAACTTTTTATGAGAAAGAGTGAGGATACCATTAACAGAAAACTTCTGAAGAGCTAGATTTGGGCAAAGGGATAGATCGTAATGCTAAAAACAACAAACTTAAAGATATTAAAACTCAAAAGTTGCACAGAACTTTTATGAACTTACGGTATAAAGCTCACAGTACATATCATCAAAAAATGGCAACATTAAAAACACTAGTCTATAGTTTCAAAATTCTATTTTAAAGATTTCATTCATTACTTTTGTTTTTTAACTTATAGATTTCATTCGTTACTTTTGTTTTTTAACTATGCTAACTCTATCTCCAATGAATGTCTGAAGGAGGACAAATGTGAAACTATGCATGTAACTTAATTAATAATTGAACATAAGTTTAGGACAGAGAGTGGACTAGTGGGACTCTGTGCATGTAAAATTCTAGTCAGTTTGTATTATCAATTCAACAAACACGCACACACACACACACATCGCACTCCCATGCACTTTTCAACCTGCTAATGGCCGTGGACAGCAAATTTGAATTCTAAATTTCATGGAATAAATAGAGGATTCATGTGTCAATGTCAATTTTAATAATAACACTAGTAGCACGAGGCTACCAGGAGTATCACTGTAGCATTAGTAGTAATACCTTGTGGTGATCATGACAATAAAGACCTATAATCCAGGAGAGGAACAAGTTATCTCACCATTAGAAGATTGCCTACACTCTCCTCAGAATCAGCCCAGGGTTGGACTCCAAATGGCCTTTTCAAAAGCACAGATTTGGGTGGGAAGTCAGGGAGCTTATCTGAAGCATAGGTATACCAGGGAGTTAGAAAATTGAACACCCAACAGTAGCTAGAAGTAAGCCCAGGAACATACAAAAGTACATAACAGAAACTAAGTTCAACTTCATCTAATAAATGGTGATACAAGGTAGCTTAACCACCTTTCAGCAACTCAACGTTCTGCAAAGTTTCATTGTCAAGAGCCAAAACAGAGGATGAACCCCTATTTGAGGCAGCAAACTCCATGAGTTCCAACTGTTCATCCTCAATCAATTCTGTTGATTCCTTAGCAATTCTGCGAGCAGCAGCCCTATCATTAGCAGCTCTAAGTCTTGCAGCTTCCTTCTCCCTGCGCATTTCTTCTTTAAGCCTCTTCTTCTCTGCCTGAGAGAAGAACAAGCAAAAACAACGAAAAAACTGTTACTTTAGGACCTCTATTGTTAAAATAAAAACATATAACTATGTATAATATGCATTAGGGCTAACTCTGATATATTCCTTTTGTAGGAATTTCTCCCTCCGCTCTATTTCACGCCTTTGCTCCCGCTGATACCTCTCCTCTTCACGCTGCTTTTCGCGCAACAGTCTTTCTTCTTCCTTCCGGCGTTCACGATCCTGCCTTTCCATATCTTTCCTCATTTGTTCTTCTCTCTGAAGATTAAGGATTTGATTTGATGATGTAAAGTTATCAGAGAACAGTAATTAACAAATGAGTTTAAGACTGATTGAATCTCTTAAATGAAAGGAAGGACATGCAAATACCTTGCGTCTTAATATATCTTGCTTCTCAAGCTCTTTTCGGATTCTTTTCTCATGAGCTTCAATTTCCCTGGCTACTCTAGCCTCTTCACTCTGCAAATGAAAAAATAACATATCAGGAACTTTTATCCTCGTATAAAGCCCTTACATGATAAATTTGTGCAGCAATATATCAAACCTTGCATTTCTTCTCCAGCCGTTCTTCAAGTACGACATGCCTGTCTGGTGTTATAATCTGATTATCAGGCCCAGTTGCAGGGCGAACAACATAATTGGCATTGATGTTATCATTCACTAAAGGGTTTATTCGTGGAGCAATGTCAACTCCTCCAGAAGCCGGAGATAGATGATTGCCTTGCCTTCCTGGATGAGGCAAAAGACTTAAAACTGGAGTCTGACCTTGGAGATTATGTCCAGAGGGTTCTTGTTCATTCCCATGCTTAAAAGATCTCCCACTAGATGACAGAAATCGAGCACTCTGAACGTCAGCTGGTGAACCATAATAATGAGAAGGCAAAGTTCTTTCATATGACTCGCTTCTCAAAGATGGATTCTCTGGAAGAAACTGGAATTCATGGATAGCCTGTGAAGCTCCCTGAGATCCAATTTGTCAAAAAACCAATTCTCAAGTCCAAAACTCTATCAACATCAACAAGATACATATAAAGAAAATATCGTGTGAAAAAATACAATGTATATGAATCAACTTCATAAATTCAAAATGATCATGTTGACATAAGAATATGAATATACTATCAACTTTTTCCTTTTCGATCTCTGTTAGGGGCTGGCCAAGTTGATAAATTTGATTAGCGGACTGAGGCAGGAATAAAGAGGACCCAGCAGAAACATCATAATAAAAATTGTCCAATAACTGAGAAAAATATACAGAGCTTGACGAAGGTGAAATAGCAATTTTTGGGCGACGAAGTCACACACCACTCATTGGACAAACAAAAACCTGAAAAGAAAAAGAAGCAAGTCCTATGACTTCCCAACCGTGCAATTCTCTTACTGTTATTTGTTTATTTCATGTGGAGGTGAAAGGTTCAGGGGGGTGGCATTTGATTGAAATGCCAAGATTTTGCCAATTAGTATTTTCTTTAGTGATTTAGTTGCGTGATTAGAAATCTAATCATGCAACTAAATCACCATCATTCTGCTTTGATTAGAGATCAAATATTGAGTTCTGTTTTATTGACCATTTTGCTGCCATTAGCGTAAACCATTAACAAAACAATGCAAGCATTTTGAGACCATAAAAATTTTGCAATTTAGATATACTAGGTTCCCAGCTTCATATGTAGGCATGATGCTAAGCCAAGAAGACTTCTATACTTCAACATGCTTCAGGCAAAAACAACTTGGTTGCCAACATAAACTAGTAGAACTAATCCAGTTAAAAATGATAAATATATGATTATTGAAAAAGGAAGATGGTGATTGAAAGTTCACCTTTATCCATGCAAATTTTAAAATGCATAGAACAGTTTGAAAGAGAGGGTCTTCCAACCTTGATTATTTTAGGGTCTGGTCTCTCATATAATTGAGCTTCGTGCGACCGTCCAGCATGTTTCTGTTGCACTGGTGTAACTGTTTGATGCCAAACCCATTAACTCATATATTAAAGGAAAACCGAAGACAAAATATATAATGCTATTGTTAGCCCAAAAAAGTTCATAGCCAACATCTACCATTCTAAACTGAAATTCTAGCATGCATTACCTAGGACTAAGAAGCATGGACACGCAACATGACATGAAAATGCCTACACATGATTTTTCAGAAAAAGTAAGACAATGAAGCATCAAGGACACGTGACATTAAATTTTTTTGTAGATCACCATTTTTGTACTTTCTAATAAAGATCTCAATATTTTTTAAATTTTGGGCGAGAACTTTTAAATATGATAAGTATCTACTTGTTAGATTAAGCCTCCGTTTGGCAAAGTAAATTATATATAAATGGTCAAAATTCATTTTCAACCACACACTCGAATCCACAGGTACTATCCACTTATCCACCACAATGCTTTCCAAATGAAGGCTAAAATAATTTTCAAGTTAAATGATATATTAATAATGCTAGGAAAAGAAAAATTCAAACGGCGTAGGTAAAAAGAATTTGACATTAAGTTCGTAGAACTTTTCTCACATTATTTTTGACAATTTTAGACAAATGTTTTAATGATCAAAAACCTCTCCAATCCTGTATTCTAATTTGCAAAATGGGATTTTCCTCATCCTTGATGTGCAAAGAAGAATAAAAAAATATGGAAGACGCCACAAGGCATGTCAGATATATACCCAACGAGCGTACATAAGATATCCATCAAGTGTCAAAATTATAAAGAAGAAAAAAATTATATATGTGTGTGTGTGTTACACCACGTTGTGTGTCGGACACGTCTTGAGTGTCCAGGAGTGCAAGTGAACTATATGACATCACACGTAGACAGGACATCCTAGTGGGAATGTCCATGCTTCATAGCTCCAGACATTCCCCAAGGAGCACTTCCATTTTGCAAAATAAATTTACCAGCCAACAGAGACCAAACACAATCCACTCAACTACTTCATATCAATTAAAACGGCAGACAATGATAATAATATTTGCTGATTGTTGAATGAGTGCAGATTATACTCCAGAGAAACTGTCTTTAAGCTGATCACAGTGTAATCCCACCTTATTTACTTTATTTGAAAGAAAAAAGAAATCAAAAAACAATATGACTACGTATAAGAAATGAATTATTATTTAAATAAAATTTATGTGAAATCAGTCTTGCTCGTGGAAGCACCATTTTTGGTATTCTTAGCATTCCCAACATCAAATAACATATTATGCTGTGACCTTCAATGCAAACAGAGGGCAGAAGTTGAGCTCTGATAATGCCTAAACCAAGAATAAATACATCCCACCATCATTTATCCACACGGCATCGCTGCATAACTGGATTCCTGTTACTTACTTTTGATCATGCAAGTAATTTCTTGTAGTAGTCTCCACAAGACTGAGAACTGTGAAACTGACTAAACACCAGTTAAAAAAAGTCCTACATTCACCATTCTAGATGCTTAGAGGCGAAAAAAAAAAATGGGCTCTTTGGCTGGGCATAAGTTTAAATTAGTCTTCATTTCATGTTTGCTAAACCTTTCAAGTGGCAAAACTTGCCACCAAACCTTTCATGTTCCTGCAAAAGGATTTCACTAAGACTGAAAAAAACAGACTGAATCCCTCAGGATCAAAGGTATATGATAGGATCTTGACAGCTATTTATTGGGAACTAAAAAGTGACACTACCAGTCCATGCCTAGTGCTCATTCTTTTTCCTGCTTTCTCAGTCTCCTAAATAAACAAAGATTCTATTTAATTTATAAATAAAGACAATTTTGACTTCTTCCTCATTATAGGGGGAAAAAATCCCTGCACTCATCAAATTAATAGCTTTGAGTTTCATAAATATTCAATCCAAATAACAGTAGTAATTTTCTTGATCCTCAATGGTTCTTTGGTATATACAGCATCGAATAGCACCCAAAAAGCCAAGCAAACTCCTTTATAAGGTTTTTATAAATTGCAATCTTAACACAAAACTTACCCAGGGAATTTTCTGGGAATTACCACTTAAAATACTATGTTGCACCAACACAACGCCAAAAGGAGACTCCCATCAAACCCCACGAACATCCGAAGATTCTGTCAAAGAACTATGGATAACTATTTGGAGTAGATACTAGTAACAACAGAAACAAAGCATTTTGTCAACCATCCAATATCCTTGTTTCCACAGGAAAACCACATGTTTCAATATAACCACTAGGGCACAAGTTAAAAACAGAAAAAAATATCATAAAAATTGAATAAATCTTATATCCGCTAGACTCTAAAATTTTGAGAAATATCCACTACTACTAAATCCCATGTCAAATAAATTCCTCCGGTATCCCAACCACATTAATACTCCACATTACATTCTCTTCAAGTCCTCCTTGTAGATAATTGAACCTCAATATCTGAAGCAATCACTCTTCGGGGAAAGACTATCCTCCACAGTGACTCCACTATCATCCTTATTCCTACCACTACTAAAAAGGGAAATTACAAGTACTCCATCCTAGTTCTAAACAAAAACCATTAGATTTCAAACTTACGAGTTAACCCCCTCTTAGTCTCAGCAACTAAAACTATATCATCTGCAAATATCATACACCAAGGAACCTCATCTGAGTTATAGCTCATAAGTTTGAGTACAGTTAAGGTAAATATAAAATTACTATAGTTATAAAGGATCTAGTTGCATTTAATCTTTAATAGATGTAGCAAAAAACCGAACGGTTCGTGTTTTATTTATTGGTGTCTTTTTATTTCATCGGGCTTGTCTAGTGGGCCTGTGAATATTAGGGTTTTTTTTTGCTATTTATATGTTAGTCACTGGAGTGGCAAGACAGTTAATGAAATGATGAATTGAATTACGGTTGCTACCAACATCTTCTTCCTCCCTTGTCCTCTCTTCCCTCAGTTTCTCCCCCCTTTCTTCTTCTTCTCTGGCCGTGTCGTCTTCTTCTTCTCCAGTTGTCTCCTTCTGCTGCATCTAGTCTGCTTCTTCTGCTGGTTATTTCAACTTGCTTATCTTCTAATGTTATAAGTTCTAAAATTCTCAACTATCCTACATCAGAATGACAAATTAAAAATAAGCATTTTGACGATTCTTTATAAATACCATCTCCCAAGACCATAGTTTAATAAGAAGCCTGTCAATCAGACTTATCATTTTTTCGTTTCATTTGCATCATTTAATAGGAAAGAAACCATTGGAAGTATTAAATAAAGAACTAGACTACCCTTCAGTGCTCATAGCATATCACCTAACACAAACATCTCTCACAAAAAAAAATCTTAAAATTTACTTTGCTCATTGTGAAAATCGTTTAGTGTGATCAGCATGTGCAAGTACTAATTTATGTGGCTTGACAATTAAGAAACTGGCCAACAATTAATCAAAACACACATTGCATTACTAAACATCGAACTTCAATGACATCACATTATTACTAGCTGTCATATAGTAAATCTATACACTATTCAGGCGGTGCCTAGAAGAACTTTGCATTTATTATTAAATGACAAAAAGTGAAATTGGGTCAAGTAATATACCAATTGGTGCACCAAATGCACCAGGAGGCAAGGGATCAAACTCCATTCCAAGAATTGGCCCATCCTCTCTCAATGGCTCCCCCAACTGTGCCTCCACAAATGCTATTGCCCTCTGCTCAGATATTGCAAGAGGTGGCTCATAGAACCTCCTCATTGCCGGCATTTCTGTTGTTATCCTTGGCACCGAGGTCCCAACTTTATGAACCACTCTCTGCTGCTGTGGTGGACGGGGCATCAAATCCGAATTCCCAAACAGACTCAAACCAGAGCCATGTTCATTTTCCACCTCAGTATTGTTAACGGCCATTTCACCTGAACTCCTGCCAGAGGGACCTGCAACTGCAGCTGGCGAGGCCCTCTTTGTTTGCTGCTTCTCTGCAGGTGCTTTTCGGTCCTTTAACCTTCTATGGCAGAACCACATCTGTAGCTGCCGATCAGAGAGGCCTAATTTCACTGAAAGCTCTGCTCTCAACTCTTCAGACGGATATGTTTCCACTAAGCATAAAATCAAACACTTATTCTCATTAATTTTAATCCTAAAATATGCTCAAAATACTGAAATAGTTAAAAATCAGAACCTAAATATCACAGAATAAAATCAAACAAAAACGAACAATAAAAAGAGAAATGGATGAAACTAACTAGCATAGGTTTTCTCAAGAAGTTCTAACTGATAAGGAGTCTTCATTTTACGCTTAACCCTTGGTTCTCCCTCTGGTGTAGTCTTCTTCTCCGGCTCTACACTTCCAGCACTTCCTCCTCCACCACAACTGCCGGCACCACCACCTCCTCCACCACTTCCACTACCACCAGCTCCATCAGTCTCCATTTGACTCCAGAAAATCAAAACGCTTACTTCCTCTCCAATATATAAAACCGAATCAAAACAAGTCAGGGCTTATACAGATCCCCAAATTCCAAATAACCTAAATTGAAATAAAACCCACAAAAATACAAATAAAATTACTCAATTAAAGTCCCTAAAATCTAGGGTTTGCAAATGGAAGTGTCTGCATATAGGAAACACTACGATGGAGTTTTCCTTTCTCTCTCTACATAATCGATTTGTGCGGTGAGATTTGTAGAATACCCCAAAAAAACAATTAACACTCCCAATAACAAAAACTTGTATACAAATAATAATAGTAGAAGACGAAGAATAAGTATTTGATTGTTTTATTATTTGTGGGTTGTGTGAGGATAAAGAAAAAAGCAGTCGTACATAGAATTGAAAGATAGAAAAAACACAATTACCAACCCACGAACCAACAATAACAAAATGAAAAACAATACACTTTCCCTCTCTAATCCCACGCATTATTTCTTTTTCTCTCTCTAAATCCTTTCTTTCTCTACGGAATTTTGTTTGTTTTTTTCTTTGAAAATTTTCAGTTTCTGCTTTTATCGACTGTGATGTTGTCAACTGTTTTTTTGATGGGTAAAAAATTGATTGCGCATATAGAGAGAGAAAGCGCAATAAACTATGTGAAATATTAATTTGACTTTAGAGAGAGAAGGCTTTGATTCACAATTGAATTTGTGCGATCGTGTGTTGGGAGTTTTTAACATTTTTTAGGATAAATTTCTCTAGAGGTCCCTAAGCTTTTCATTTGTCGTACTTAGATCTTAAATCTTTTTACATTGTGCATGCAAATTTCTTAAGTGGAAAAATGGTCTATTTATTTAGCAACACCCTATTTGATAGAAATTAAAATCATATTTTAAATAAATTTTGATAAAAATTGATGAAAATATATTGTAAAAAAATTATAGATCTTATAAAACTCCTGTCTAGATGTAATTCTTATATAAAGTAAAATTTTGATCGTTGAAAATATAGTGTCCCTATTTCGCCGTAATATTAACTCAACATAAAGCAAATTACCATAAATGCCTTTCTCTCAAATAGAATGAATTAAATGTCAAAAGGGTATATATATGTAATTTTGCTTCATTTAATTAATAAATGTGGACGCTAACATTGTGTGAAAATAAAAATTTTGCTGAAAATTTTATAAAATTTTGTTAAAAATCGCTCCAAGACAACAATAAAATATGTGATTAAAATTAATTGTTGGTTTTACCTTAGATAAAAATTTTAATTTTAATCTCTACCAAATAGGGACTAAATGTTCATGCAACAACCATAAATTTTGACTGAAAATGTAAATTATTCGAAAAAAGTAATATTCCCTGTAATTTGAATTGAAATTATTTAGCTCTTGTAATAAAGAAAATATTTTTTTAGTAATTTTACTCTATTTGTCCGATGTAAACTACATTTCACCTACGAATGGCAACAGGGCAGGAGGTGGGAAATTTCCTGCCCCGTACTCGCCCCGCTTTTCAGACTGGACGGAGTGGATCAAGTTCGAAGCCTTGTTCCGTTTACACACTCGTTTATTTTTTTTATTGCCCTGTTCATTAAAAGCGAGACAATAATATTGTTATTAATTTTTTTAATCAATTAATTAATTTTTAAAGTTAAATTAGTCTCAAAATCATAATCACATAATGTAGATAACACCATAACTTCAATCTTATTTAACTATTTAGATAAAGTCAATTTTAAGTTCTGTACAAATAAAATCTTCTAATTACTTGAAATTAAAGTTAAATGATTTTAAAAAAATAATAATAATAAGCTCAAGTCAAAAAAATAATAATAACAAGGCACGTCTATGGAAGACAAAAGAAATGAAGGAAAAAATTCAGCCGTTTAAGAATTGGAAAAAAAAAAGCATCTCGGCACCAAATGAGGCGTTTTGTCCGAACTTTGAATTTAGATGATATCTAGAAGAGCTTTTTAAAACACTGCTAAATAGACATTTCTCGTCTGATAATGACACTGCGAGCACAATGTAAAATGATTAGGATGTGAATGCTCTACTTATGAAAGATTAAGGGCCCCGTCAGAAATTTATCCTTTATCTCTACTTTCTCTCTCTAGACATTAAAGAACAGTTCTGTTTCTGCAGGTTCTGGTTGAAATTTTAACAGCGCTGTGGAAATGTTAGACCAACTCGTATTAAGGAGGTTTAACTACACGCTCCAATGGTTTTGGGTCAACTTAAGGTGGACAGTAAATGGACGCGCTTGAGCGTGAGAAGGGGTTTTGTGGGAATATACTTTTTGACTGTAGAAGGTAAAATGAATTGTGGGTCCATGTTGTAGGAATCCGGGCATAGTCAATTTATCAAGGCTCTATTGTAACTATTTTAGCCTCTGTTTCGTCTTTATTAATTTCAATTCTATTATATTTTATTTTTTTCTCACAATCTTTCATAAAATAATATTATACGTAAATAAAAAAAACTTACTTCTTTTTCAAATATTCATTTTTCGAAAAAATACTATTTCATCCATTTTCATTTTTCAAAAATGGGGCCACACAGGGGCTTAAAGCCTAATTGAGGCCCTTTTTTTATTAAAATATATTTTGAAATAGTATTTTATTAAAAAAATATGTAGTTAAAAATAAAAAAAAATTAAATTTGTGTATAATTTTATTTTATTAAAAAGTGTATGATTGAAAATAAAAGATAAAAATATATTTCAAAAATGAAAAGACAAACGAGGTCTGATGAAAATATATTGTAAAAAAATTATAGATCTTATAAAACTCCTGTCTAGATGTAATTCTTATATAAAGTAAAATTTTGATCATTGAAAATATACCGTCCCTATTTCGCTGTAATATTAACTCAACATAAAGCAAATTACCATAAATGCCTTTCTCTCAAATAGAATGAATTAAATGTCAAAAGGGTATATATTTGTAATTTTGCTTCATTTAATTAATAAATGTGGATGCTAACACTGTGTGAAAATAAAAATTTTGTTAAAAATCGCTCCAAGACAACAACGAAATATGTGATTAAAATTTATTGTTGATTTTACCTTAAATAAAAATTTTAATTTTAATCTCTACGAAATAGGGACTAAATGTTCATGCAACGACCATAAATTTTGACTGAAAATGTAAATTATCTGAAAAAAGTAATATTCCGTGTAATTTGAATTGAAATTATTTAGCTCTTGTAATAAAGAAAATATTTTTTTAGTAATTTTACTCTATTTGTCCGACGTAAACTACATTTCACCTACAAATGGCAACAGGGCAGGAGGTGGAAAATTTCTTGCCCCGTACTCACCCCGCTTTTAAAACTTGACGGAGTGGATTGGGTTGGAAGCCTTGTTCCGTTTACACACCCGTTTATTTTTTTTATTGCCTTATTCATTAAAAGTGAGACAATAATATAGTTATTAATTTTTTTAATCAATTAATTAATTTTTAAAGTTAAATTAGTTTCAAAATCATAATCACATAATGTAGATAACACCATAAATTAAATCTTATTTAACTATTTAGATAAAGTCAATTTTAAGTTCTGTACAAATAAAATCTTCTAAAAACTTGAAATTAAAGTTAAATGATTTTAAAAAATAATAATAATAAGCTCAAGTCAAAATAATAATAATAATAATAAGACACGTTTATGGAAGACAAAAGAAATGAAGGAAAAAATTCAGCCGTTTAAGAATTGGAAAAAAAAAGCATCTAAGCACCAAACGAGACGTTTTGTTCGAACTTCGAATTTAGATGATATCTAGAAGAGCTTTTCAAAACACTGCTAAATAGACATTTCTCGTCTGATAATGACACTGCGAGCACAATGTAAAATGATTAGGATATGAATGCTCTACTTATGAAAGATTAAGGGCCCCGTCAGAAATTTATCCATTATCTCTACTTTCTCTCTCTAGACATTAAAGAACAGTTCTGTTCCTGCAGTTTCTAATTCGGGTATGGTTGAAATTTTAACAGCGCTGTGGAAATGTTAGACCAACTCGTATTAAGGAGGTTTAACTACACGCTCCAATGGTTTTGGGTCAACTTAAGGTGGAGAGTAATTGGAAGCGCTTGAGCGTGAGAAGGGGTTTTGTGGGAATATACTTTTTGACTGTACAAGGTAAAATGAATTGTGGGTCCATGTTGTAGGAATTCGAGCATAGTCAATTACCAAGGCTCTATTGTAACCAATTTAGGGGCTGTTTGGGCCCGATTTTTTCCCCCAAATTTTTTGATCGTTATTTTACTATTTCAGCCGTCATATTTGAGTTCTTCTCTCACAGGTGGATCCCACTTTTCTCCTAACGATCAAAAAATCAATTCTCAAAATCACTCCCAAACAGCCTCTTAGCCTCCGACATCCATTAATTTTAATTCTATTATATTTTATTTATTATTATTATTTTTAATCTCACAATCTTTCATAAAATAATATTACACATAAATAAAAAAAACTTACTTCTTTTTCAAATATTCATTTTTCGAAAAAATACTATTTCATCCATTTTCATTTTCCAAAAATGGGACCACACAGGGGCTTAAAGCCTAATTGAAGCCCTTTTTTTATTAAAATATATTTTGAAACAGTATTTTATTAAAAAAATATGTAGTTAAAAATAAAAAAAATTAAATTTGTGTATAATTTTATTTTATTAAAGAGTATATGATTGAAAATAAAAGATAAAAATATATTTCAAAAATGAAAAGACAAACGAGGTGTTAGTACATAAATTTTCACATGTACTTTAATTAAAATATAAGGAAAATTTGTATGGTTGGTCGACTTATTTATGATTCTGTAGCGACTTTTGAGCTGTGAATTACAGTAACTTGATCTTATTAACTAAATAAGTTACCATGCCTTTTTGGACACATATTTTGAACACATTATTGAGCGCGTTATTGCATGCATATAATTTTTTAAGTGCTATGTGACTTTAATTTATTTCAAATTATGTTCTTCTAGTTATCAATATTTGGTACATGATTAAAATTGACGTGATAATTTAATATCAACTTACGAGGAACCGTATAAAATAAAAGTGTGTTTTCGCTATAACTTTCACTTATTTGGTAGTGTATTATAGGTAAAAGCTTAGCTTGATCCTTCTACTTAGGCCTTTGCTTCTTAATATAAGCCCAAAGACATGGGCTTCTTGTTCTCTGTCTTACCAAGATACAGAGTCCATCATCAAAAATTGCTATGTGCCCTTGATTTATTTCAAATTATGTTCTTGTAGTTGTCAACCTGTGGTACACTATTGATGATTAAAGTTGACGTGACAATTTAATATCAACTTAAGATGAATCGTATAAAATAAAAGTGTGTTTTCGCTAGAATAATAGTAAAGAACATTTAACTTTCATATATTTGGTAGTGCATTATAGGTAAAAGCTTATCTCGATTCCTCTACTTAGGGCTTTGCTTCTTATATAAGCCCAAAGACATGAGCTTATCATTCTTTTGTCTTACCAAGTTGCAGAGTTTGTCATTGAAATACTTATTACTGCTTAATTCAAATGAATCTCATTGGTTGAGGTCAGTAAGGTCGGATCATAATTGCACCTAGGTTGTAATGTATGATCTAAGTTATCATTGTCTGCAAATTAGGCAATCATTGCTTTCTCCTTATTGATAAGCATGTTGATATTGATGTAAGGGTGACACCT